CATCGGTTTCCAGGTGGAAGGCGGTCCTGGTCAGGGTTGGCTCGATGCACCTTCCTCTTGGCACATTTCTCCCTTTCGCCCTCTATTTGAGCCTCTTCAAATTCCACAGCACTTCATATTCCACAGCTGTGAAATCCAGAATACATCTCCACTAATTGACCCTCCACCAAGACTCTACCCTTGTAAGACAATCATGCTCGGCCATGATAGATAGATAGATAGATAGATAGATAGATAGATAGATAGATAGATAGATAGATTGTGGAACCCTGCTTCTTTTCTAGATTGGGCACAAAATGGCAAACAACCTAAAATGCAATACAATGAAAAACATATAACAGGTAAAAATTAAAAGAAAATTAAATGAAATCAATTATTAAACAATTCAATTAAAAACAATTATGAAATAAATTAAAAAGCTGTTCAAACAATTCAGAACCCTCTGGCCCATTTTAAAAGCCATGCTGAATAAACATGTCTAGCTTACCTGGGCAGGGAGTTCCAGAGTCAAGGGGCAGCCACTGAGAAAGCCTTCTCTCCTGTCTCCATGAACTGTGCTTATGTTGGTGGAGGGACTGAGAGAAGGGCCTCTCCTGAGCATCACAGGGCGGCCTGAGCAGGTTCATACTGGGAGACGCAATCTACCAAATAGTGTGGATCTGAGCTGTATATGGCTTTATAGGTCATAACCAGCACTAAAAATTATGCTTGGAAACAAACTGGCAGCCAGTGGAGCTGCTGCAAAAATGGATGCAGTTAGCACAAATGGTTAAAATGTGTGAAGGCAGTCCTGATCAGCATGGCAACCTGGGCCTCCAGGTTTAACACTGAGTCCAGAATACTGCTGCCAACATAGTTATGCATCGATATTAAGAGACTTACAAGCTTTTCTCTTAGGACTTGGTATTCATGCTCTTTATTGTGTTTGGATGCACCTACACTGTAGAATTAATGCAATTTTATATCAATTTAACTGCCATGGCTCAATTGAATTGTGGGTGTTGTAGTTTCACAATGTTTTTAGCCTTCTCTCCAAAGAGTGCTGGTACTTGGTCAAATTGCAAATCTAAGGATTCCATAGCATTGATCTCTTACAGTTAAAGTAGGGTCAAATTGTATTAATTCTTCAGTGCTTGTAGTAAAACTCCAGTGCTTAAAGTCACATGTGACTGATATCATGACATATCCAGGAAAGGCATGACCCCTGGCATTGGACTAATATCAAGATTCCACCCACATTATCCTTCCTGTATAATGTCCGGAGCAATAAATCAATAAATTAAACAATGTTCATCACTGGACACAGTGTCAAAGTTCAACACAAAGCTGTTGCCTGGCACAAAACTGTGACCTGCACAAGCATCCAACCACTTGGGAAACTAAAATCACATAAGGAGCCGTGGCGGCGCAATGAGTTAAACCCTTGGGACAGCTGAACTGCTGACCTGAAGGTTGGTGGTTTAAATCCGTGAGACAGGGTGAGCTCCTGTCTGTCAGCTCCAGCTTCCCTTGCGGGGACATGAGAGAAGCCGCCCACAAGATGGTAAAAACATCCAGGCATTCCCTGGGCAATGTCCTTGCAGATGGCCAATTCTCTTACACCAGAAGCAACTTGCAGTTTCTCAAGTCGCTTCTAACACGATTTTTAAAAAAGTGTGGATGCCTTGTAATATGTAGAAATGCATGTTAAGCAGCAAATGACAAACTCAATAGCAGGCGTGTGCTATTTTTATGAAAAGGCTGTCTGCTAGCCAAATTGGCATCAGAACTGAATTCAAGTACTGGGTGTGCAGTGGGCTTGTGCAAAAGGAATCTTGCACACATGGAATCACTTACTGAGCTTACCTGATTTTAGTTTCCCAAGTGGTTGGATGCTTGTGCAGGTCAGAATCTATAGAACAGTTGATATAAAGGCTGTTTTAACCCAAAGGCAATGCTATATTGTTTCTCTACTAGTTTGCTCTGGTATCTCACATCATCATCACTCCATTGAAAAATACATCTTAAACTTGGGATGGAAGAATAGAGTGGCTTTAGCTGCTGTATCGTACCACAAAAAGCTGCACAGAACAAGTAGGACAAGTTTGTCTTGCTATGGTAGTTCCCCGCTGCAATAAAATTTTAAAGTATTTTTCCCATCCAAAAAGTACAGCATTTCTACATCACAACCTGTAGAAACTTTTATGAGGCCAGGAAGGTAACATACTAAATTCCTTCTCCCAGAGTTTTGTGCCAGGCAACAGCTTTGTGTTGAACTTTGACACTGTGTCCAGTGATGAACATTGTTTAATTTATTGATTTATTGCTCCGGACATTGTACAGGAAGGATAATGTGGGTGGAATCTTGATATTAGTCCAATGCCAGGGGTCATGCCTTTCCTGGATATGTCATGATATCAGTCACATGTGACTTTAAGCACTGGAGTTTTACTACAAGCACTGATAGGAGGTGATGCTAGAACAGTGAAATAGCTGAGGAGCATATAAATAATTTGGAAGGTTTGGCTGTCTGCCCAAAACCCTCAACTATCATGTACAAACAAGTCCTTTGTTCTTTGTTCTTTAAAACATCATGTTTGCATGCTCAGTTTAGGCATGATGTAACATCACAACTGCTAGATTCCAATCTGCAAAATAAGAGCCTTTGCATAGCAAATAATCCTTGGGACAGAAGAAGACAGGAAGTCTAGTGTTATCCCAGCATCCATGTATGCAGGCATCTCAGCAGTTCACGTAAGATACGTTTCTTGACTTCTTCTATGTGTTCCTTAATGTTAAGTGCCAATGACAGATGGTTCAAATCTATTTCTCATAAAACCTTTTAAAATAATTTTAAATGTTTGAAAGGGAGGTTTATTTGTGGGTCTTGTAGGTTATATTTCAGAGGAAGGAATTATAAAAACTACCTCTGAGTATTCCTTGCCTTAGAAAACCCTACAAAATTGATGGGATTGCCAGAAGTCAACAGGCAACTTGGAAGACACATGCACATGCAATCACATGCATGCACACACACAAATGTTAACTATTTATAGACATGCGTACACAAGATGAAAGTCTATAGTATTGTAATGCTTCCCATCCCAGTACATTGGATCTTGTACTCAATGGTAAGATAGATGTACACTCTACAACATACGCAACCAAAAGACAGCTAAGTGTGATCATGATAGTAAAAGTTATCAATGAAAAATAAACACAAAAGCTAGGAGAGGCTGCCACAGGATGCTTTTACCTAAACTACTGGAAACTACTTTTGCAGCAACTGAAATGAGCTGAGGTTAAAGAAGGAAAATAAAAGAAAGAGAGAGAAACGGGGACTTCTTAAAAGCATCCGAAAAATTGAGTAATATATTAATTGGGACAATTAGATGTATGAGTGTTGTGTGCATGTACTCAGCAGAAGGTCCTTTTATTATTCAAACAGTTCATCAACACTTTCAGGCCTGACTCAGTATCAACAATCAGCTAAAGAAATAATGTGTGTGTGTGTGTTTGTGTCTGTGTGCGCTAAGTGGATTGAATGAATTGTATGTTTGGGGTCTAGCTGGGGCCTATAAATGTCTGGAGGGACTGACCTGAGAACGCTGTTTGCAAACAACACATATTTACATAGGACCTCATCACATGGAGCGTTTTCCCCATTGTAGAGGTCTATTTCAAGGATGAAGTAGCACGGAGCCCATCAGATGACATTTGTCTACTTCTGGCTGTCATCCGTGGCCTTTTATCCTTGCAATGGAGCTGTTGAAAGGAGGGAGTTTAGAACATGGGCAAGAAATTGTGTTCTGAGTCCCTGGCATACACCAGAACTGCCACTAATGCCAAAAACTCATTTGATGGGATCCGACAAGTTCACCCATGTTGAATCGTTTTAGTGACATGAAGGAATGAGCACTCCTCATCACTTTGCTTTCACTGCATTTTCTCCTTAATAGTAATGTAGGATCAAAATTGTGCTCTTGCTAGATTTTTAACATAACACTGGTCTAATGGAAAGAAGGGAAACCCAGCAGGAAGGAATTATGGCAAAGTTATAATTACACTGGTATAATGAAGGAAACAAAGCCTTGCAAGAGGGGATCATGGAAAAGGGGTTTACAATTATGCAGGTATAGTGGAGGGAAGGAAGGCATGCAAAAAACTTATCAAGGCAAAGGGATTTAAAATACCACCACCCCTACTCCCCGCCACAATGGGATGAGGTCTATAATCATCTTGGCTTTCAGTTATTGAAGTTTTCCTTTTTTTTTAAAAAAAAAAAAAGTAATATGGAGAAGGCAGAGAAAGGGATTCCCTATGTGATGATTCCTAATGTAGGCAGCAATGGGTGAAAACTTGTGATGGGAAGACAGAACTTGAAACAGGATGATTGGTGATCTAACAGTGCAATTCCCTTTGCTAGACAGACAGTCCCCAGCACTTCTCTAGGTCCATGTGATGAGGTCCATAGTTAAAGACAAAGACACATTAAGAAAAAAGTTAAAGAAGTTAAAAAACATATATGTTCCAGAACTGATGAGGCTCTAGCACAGGGGTCCTCAAAGTTTTTAAACAGAGGGCCAGGTCACAGTCCCTCAAACTGTTGGAGGACCGGATTATAATTTGAAAAAAAAAATGAATGAATTCCTATACACACTGTACACATCTTATTTGTCGTGCAAAAAACACTTAAAAGCAATACAATAATTAAAATGAAGAACAATTTTAACAAATATAAACTTATTAATATTTCAGTGGGAAGTGTGGGCCTGCTTTGGCTGATGAGATAGGACTGTTGTTGTTGTTGTTGTTGTTGTTGTTGTTGTTGTTGTTGTGTGCTTTTAAGTCATTAAATTGACCCTGAGCGAGGGCTGGGTAAATGACCTTGGAGGGCCGTATCCGGCCCTCGGGCCTTAGTTTGAGGATCCCTTCTCTAGCAGATTTGAGCTGAATGACAGAGGTTATCTAAACAACCAGTTAATGAACAACCATAAAGCTCTACATAAGGAGACCCTTTTCCTTAGTGTATGTGTGTCAGTTCTGCAAAGATACAGTTCTGGACACCCTCCTCTCTTCTCCATCAGGAGGCCTGAATGGAGAGAGGTGGTGAGTATGAATGTTGAATGTATGTGAGTGAATGTCGGTGTAACCAATATAACTATTATAAAACCAGTAGTGAAGTCCGTGTGTCTGCTTCTTTCTCTGAATGTGTCCGATGTACTCTGTTCTACTGAAAATAGATTAAAAAACATTTTTAAGGTTCAAAAAGTATTCATGACATCTATGTGCCTTCAAGTTGCCTGTTGACTTATTGTGACTTTGTTGATTTCATAGGGTTTTAAAGACAAAGAATATTCAGTTATTTGGTAAGTTCCCTTCTACTCTTAATAATGGGACTCAAGGTGACTAACAGTTCCCCTAGAAAGCCAGGTTGCTGTGGTGGTTAAGAACCCTTGTACATCAGTTGCATCCTTTGAGGAAGGCAGATATGATCATAAGGATTCATGTCTCAGTTACTTCTCAATTAGATTATTGTAGTGTGCTCCATGTCCCCGGGTGCAGCCAGTACAAAATACAGCGGCTAGACTGTCAGTTGCACACTTCAGAGACCGTATAACATCAGTCTTGCAAAAACCATACTAGCTTCTGGTTTTGATCTACAACAGCTTGGTGCCAGCATATCTGAAAGATCACTTCCTTTTCATTAGAGCCTGTCAAAATTTGAGATCTTCAGAGATAGTTATGTCGGTGTTCCAACAGTTTGTGAAGCTAGGTTGGTGGGTACACATTATACAGTTTTTGCATTCTGGAACAGAGAGGATTTGGAAGACAAAGAGTGTGCTGCTCTCCAAGGAAGGGGCCAACCAATTGAAAGGGATGAAGGGGGCTGGCCAGCCAGCTTGTTTATTTAAGGCCACATCCTCTCTTGAATTATCAAGGGACTGAGCTCTCTCAAGTTAAGTGAGGAGAATAGTCTAATGGACTCTCCCCATTTTTCCCTGTCTACTTATTTTCTCTTACTTTAGAGTTGATTTTCTCATTCCCTCTCCATTGTGTTAGTGTTCTGGCTATTAAAAACTGAATAAAGTAGTTATCGTTTGAAGACTCTCACCAAGTTAGGTATGACAATGGTAACAATAAAAGTGATTAGATTTTAGGCTAAGTACAATGTTGGGCCATGGGTCCTCTTTGTGGGGCTTTTTCAGTGTGATAAATGTGCTTACAATGATATATGACTTAAACTGTTATGTGTCTTGGACATTTTCACAATTTTAAAGTTGCAGCAGGATGGTTGTTGTTACACAATTGCATAGTAGCTACACCCCTAACTGTAGAGAGAGAAAATAGTACTGACAAAGGTCTGAAAGAATAAACAGACTTTTCCTGAGTTACTATATTCCTCCCTTTTTTGATAGATTACAAAGAAATGAATTGATTTTATATTTGTTTTATAGTAATTTGAATTTGCAAATAGGCAGATTAAACATAGTATACATTTCACTTAATTTTAGATAAATGGTCTTTAAGAGACTTGAACTTTCAAGCTTGATATAGGAATGGAATTCAAGACATACTGGTTACTTTTTGCTGCCTTGTGTTTAACATTGGTCTGTTCCCAGAGTAAAGACCATCCACCATGTAAGTATATCTTATTTATTAATACATAAATAAAATCAAGTATATAACTAGAGAATTAATAAAATATAACCCAATGTAAATTGATAATAGAATATCACCTAACTATAAACTTCACTTTTGACCTCTATGACAATGCAAACATGTATGTGTCTGTCAGTTTATCAGTATTCCTGTTGAGAATACAACTCTTGGCTGGCTTTTGGTCCATACAAAATAATAGTTTTGGTAGTGGAGGGAAGGAGCTCTATTGGCATGTGTGAGATACACATCATATGGATAATATTTAGAAACATGCTGTGCTTTTTGGTATACAGGAGATCTGCACAACTTGGAAGTAAGTAAGTGACCAATTACCAAATAGGTTAATCTTCTTTGAGCCACATGCCCATGACTGAGGCAGGGGAGGGGTCACCCTGCTCTTGGGAAGCCTGCCCACAGAGCCCTTAGCATCCCTTCTGCAGCCTTGACTGTTGGGCTTCCTCTGTAAACTTCATGGCCATCAGAGAAGCGGTGTCCATGAATCCTCTCTCCCTGCACTTTCCTCGCTTGTGTCACTTGTGGCTTGGTGTGCTTATGCCCTGGCACTGCAGAGTGGATACATCAACTCCTCATGCTGTCCAAATGAGCCCAAGCTTCCAGGTAGAAGAGGAACGGCCAGCCAGCAAGTTGTCTCCAATCTGCCCAGAAGTATTTCAGAGCTTTTGAGATCAGTGCTGTGGAGGGGACAGTGTGTGACAGTGGAGAGTAGTCAGAGAGGAATCCCATTCACAGTTGTGGAAGACATGGCAGTGTCAGGGTCCAGACACTGTGATCTGGCTCCTGTTCTTGGTTCTGGCCTAACAGCAGAGTGGCACCAGTGTGGTTGCCCAGAGCATGCTCCAACTGGAAGCCACTGTGAATCACCTAAAATTCTTTGGTAAGCTGCATGTGGTCCATTGGCTACATATTGTGCAGGTCAGGTATTATGGTCTAATTGGTGTAGAAATAAATTGGGTTAGTACATACAATCTATTACAGTAGTTATTGTTAACAATAAAAGGTTCCAATATACACAAGAGCAGAATGTATGGGTTCCCTTATATCAAATGGCAACTTGAATGTTTACTTTTTGGATTTTTCTTTTGGAGCACCCCTTATCCAAAAGGCTTAGGACCAGAAGTGTTTTGAATTTTTTTCCAGATTTTAGTATACCAGGATGCATACATACCCCCCCCCCCACAAACACACAATTATTTGCTATTTCTTATGCACATCCTGAAGTTGATTTTATACATGGTATTTTTAAATAATTTTGTGCACAAAACAAAGTCTGTGTACATTGAACCATTAGAAAGCATCACTAAAGGATCACTATACCAGCCAATCATGTAAACCATTTCAGATTTTAGAGTACCATATTTTGAATTTTAGAAGGGATGCTTAATTTGTGTGGATTGTAGAATCCATGGATGTAGAATATGTGGATACTTTTTTATCCTGTCAGAAGTGACTTGAGAAACTGCAAATCACTTCTGGTGTGAGAGAATTGGCCGTCTGCAGAGGTGGTGCCCAAGGGATGCCTGGATGTGCTCACCCTGTCTCACAGATTTAAACTGCTGACCTTCAGGGTTCAACCCATTGCACCACCACGGCTCTGTGGATACTGAGGGAAGGGGGTACTTTAATTCCTGTGGTGGTCTCAGAGCTATTTCTTTAAAAGCCTGAAACCAAATTTTCTTTCTTCCAAACAGATGCATGCCAGTGTTTAATGAATGCCAAAGAGCGAAAGAACTGTGATTCCGCCTCTGCAGGTATCACAGCAGAGGAATGCACAGCAAGTGGATGCTGCTTTGATTCCACAGTGCCTGATGTTCCATGGTGCTTCAAACCTTCTGGAGAAAGAGGTAATGCTTGGTGGAAAGTGGGCAGCACTACTGGTTGTTAATTTTATGGTCCAAGTTTGTTAGATATGGGAGATGCTTTGTAGGCACTGTTTATGGCATTCCTTAGAAGAACCAAATGCACTTGAAGATATTCAGCCCCATCATGTTCTCAACTTTAGAAACAGAAAGGCAAAAATCCCCAGCTATACATGATAGTTTTAATGAGAAAAGTCTTGGTAAAAATGACCTCAGATTATAAAGATTTTCTGGTGCATAAGAGGGGAGAAAGATTTAATTGATAGCACTTTACCGATGGCATCCCTGTATGTTTATGCATTGTAGTACAGTATTGTATGGTTAAGCAATTCATGTTGCAGTCTTTCTGTATAATGGGATCATTAGACAATTATTTGTTTTTATTTGAGAAGGTCATATTTTGAAACTGGAACTTAAGTCATTGTTTAAACATGCTTTTAAAATGTGAATGTTCCTAGCCCCCTATCCACACACACCTCAGAACTTACCAGGAGAACACCTGGACACTCTAACTCCCTTCCCGAAAAGCCCCCAAAAGCCCTATAAAAACAAAAGAACTTACCTGGCCCCCATTAGAGGGCTGCTGGAGCTCTACAGGTGCATAGAAATGACGTGCCAGGCGAAGGGGGGGGGGCGGAGAACAGGAGCGATTTTCTTCCCCCCCCCCTTTCTCTTGGCGTGTCATTTCTATGTGCCAGGAGAGCTCCGGCAGCCCTCTAATGGAGGTCAAATAAGTTATTTTGTTTTTTAAAGGGCTTTACGGGGAGGAGGTTAGTGGTCGTGTGGTTTTCAGGCTAATTTAGCCTGGAAAGCAGGAGGACTACTCTCTAGACTGCAGTCCAGACACCAGAAGTAATAGGTTTATCTCATGTCTTCCAAGAAGGTGTGGAATAAACCCAGTAACAAATTAATTTGCCACAAACGGAGTTTTCCTGCTTTGTGGTGAATTAATTCGGGTTTGCCCAGGACGCCATCTGGACAGTCCCCTTTCAATTGGAAGAACTCCTGCGTTAAAGGGGCTGTCTGTATGAGCCCTCTAAATTTAGTAATGTGGAAAACCTCCACTTCAAAACCTAAGGAAGTGGCATACTTGTACAGAATGACCTAGCATAGGAGACACTTTTCTTTCTAGTATGTAAATAGTTTGATGGGTTTTTTTTATGAAGAAACATAAAGGCAGCCACACTGCCACCATCCCCTGTAGGTTTCTCTTTGACAGTGACCTATTTTTCAGCCCAGGAAATTGGGTTAAAATATAGTCAATTTAGAGCAGATCTACTGAAAACAATTTCCTTTGATGTCAGTAAGTCAACTCTCTGTGTAAATCTGAACCCAATCCAAATATATTTTGCCCTTAACTGAGGATTCTAACTGAAAAGCAAAGATGCAACATGACTTTGATGTCTTTTTCCATAGTTTCCCTTAGTTATGCAAAGAAAATGATTAAACCAGAGGCAAGGATGCAGTGTGGTTATGAAGGAATTTCACGCAAGAGGTGCAAAAGAATTGGATGCTGTTTTGATCCAACAGTTTCTGGTGCATCCATGTGTTTCCACCCACCAGTAAATAGTGGTAAGGATTTTATATTTATGTTATTCTAATCTTTCCCAAAAATTCAAGACAAATTGCATTATAGGCCAGTTTGCATCCCTGCTGCCTTATTTTTAAATAGGAATAGGCTGCTTTCACAAAAGGCACTGTGGTCAAAGCAAATAATAATAGCATATTTATAAAAGTATCTATGATTTCTGAGAACACGAGGGGAGCAGAGAAGGGAACACCTCTTCATCTATCATTTCTGTCTCCTTAAAATTCCAATCAATCTAGATTAAAGTATCTATCACCATGGTGGAAAGGATATATGAACTACAGTTAGTGAGAAAAAAAGGATCCACATAAGTCCTTGACTGACAGTTAAATATTTCTGTCTAAGTTAAGGGATAGAGGATATTGGGCTCTCCAGATATATTTGACTATTTCCTCTGATCCTTTTGGCTATCACTTTTGGTAGATAAAGCCCAAAACACCAGGAGAGGCAGTTTCCAAATATAAGCAATATTTCTAACCATTTCTGCAATCTCTGTTTATTGTTGCTCAAAATAATATAGATGAATAAATTGATGAGAGGGATTAATTGACAGATAGTGAATGGGTATTTGTAGGTTTTTTGGGCTATATGGCCATGTCCTAGAACAGTGGTTCCCAAACTTATTTTGGCCTAACCCCTGGAAATCATTTTTTCTAAATCTTCTCTTCTTTCTTTTATGCTTTCACCACTCTCTTACAGTTATTCATCGCCCCCAAATGCACCTGTAGACATTACCGTCCCCCCTGGATTGCTGCAGCGTCCATCAGGGGGCAGTAACACCCACTTTGGGAATCACTGTTCTAGAAGCATTCTCTTCTGATGTTTCGCCTGCATCTATGGCAAGCATCCTCAGAGGTTGCTTGCCATAGATGTAGGCGAAACGTCAGGAGAGAATGTTTCTAGAACATGGTCATATAGCCCAAAAAACCTACAACAATGCAGTGATTCCAACCATGGAAGCCTTCAACATTACAGTGAAGAGAAATCTTTGGAAATAGGAAATGAACAATAGAAATGTGGTTTATGTTTCCAAACAGTTTCCCAGCAGTGTCTCATGGATATAAGTGCAAGGGAAGAATGTGGATACCCAGGCATCACTGCAGAGGAATGCCAAGAAAAAGGATGTTGTTTCAATTCATATGTTGTTAGCACTCGATGGTGTTTTCGGCCTCTCTCTGACCAAGGTAATAATGCACTTATTGGTTTGTAGTAGCAAGATATAATGTGGTGCCTATCACACAATGCTGTTATACTGTTATCACAGAGGATTAACACCACCTCTGCTGCATGACATTGAGACTCTTCCAGTGTTGTTGTGCTGTGGAGAATGTAAAATTTCTGGGAACAATCTGTTAATGACCTCACTTTCCTCCTATGGTTCAGAAATCAGCCTGAATGTGAATGTTTCTGCTTGGTTGTGAGAATGGTTGAATAATCAGCATGGTGTGGATGTAGCTTGGTTTTCTAGGGAAATCTCTGGTCGGAAAACTAGACTATTTCTAGTGCTTAGGAGGGGAGAACAAGACTTCCCAAGAGAATAGCTGTATTTGTTGGTCTGTTTTCTATCCACTCCATACTTGTAGAATGTCAGTTTTAAAAAACTTATCTAAAAGATTTGTTGTCATAGCAACAAAGGTCAGGCACCTTTGCTACATGGGGGAGATTTCCAAAGATCTCTGCACTGCTTTTCTGTGATACCACAGACTAAAGTCTTAATTTCTAAATAATTATTTTAAATTATTGTTAATTTTATTTTTGAAAAAAATGTTGCACGTTAGCCCAGGAAGGAACACCTTCTCACCCAGCACCACACAGAGTCCAGTTTATTTACAAAAATAAAATAAAAATACAATTACAACAATTTATTTACAGAAAAAAGCATATACAAAAGGGAAAATGAGTATTTCCCAAAAAGCAGTGGAAAAGGTGCTATGAAATAGCAATAGTCCGAAGATAGCAAAGTACATAATATCCATAAAGTCAGGGACATAGGTATACATCCATGAGCATGAAAGCAGGAACTTTTCCAAGGCAAAACGATTCCAGGAACAAAGGGAAACTTGAGAGCTAAACATGAACCTGAAATTAACGCAAACCGTAGTCTGCTCTAAAGAGACCAGGAAAATACCACTCCGTTTAAGCTCAAACCTGACCAAGAAGCCATGAGGTCATCCCTTCGGCACCTGGGTTTCATGGACTGTTTCTCAGGAAGTCTTTCTGACCTTCTAATTAGCCTAACTCCCAATCCTTCCAAGGCTGAGAAAGCCAAGAAGGCCGATTTCCAAGAGAAAGGAATCCCAAACATCCTCTATCTCTTCTTTCTCTTCTGCAGCTGTTGGCCCTGCTCTCTGAGCCCAACAAACAATAGCATAATATCTCTGCGATGTTATACTATGATTGCATTACTAAAGTTTTTTTAAAAAAACGAATACAGTCAAGACACAGGAGATGGGGAAAACAAGACAGCATGAGTGAAATAGCATACTATGGAACCTATAGACTCTAAGATCATCTGGGGAGGCCCTGCTCTCAGTCCCGCCTTCTTCGCAGATGAACATCTCATCAAAAAAGTTAAAACCTGGCTTTTTGAGCAAGCATTTGCAAATGCAGTGTAACAGGCAAATATAGATCTATGGAACGACTGGATGTTGTGAATTGGAAAATGATTTTAGTAAGGAGATGCTGAGGATTTATGTTTTTATTGGTTTTGTATGGTTTTTATATTATTTGCTAAATGTTTTAAATTGTATTTTATGTTGTTGGGGGCATCGAATTGTGCTGACTGTAAACTGCCTTGAGTTGCTTTCAGGCTGAGAAAGGCGGTATATAAATATGGTAAATAAATAAATAAAGTAGAAAATAATCAGTAGAAGTTATGCACTTAAGGGACAAATCTGTTAAGGGTACAACAGTGTCAGGATTCTTCATGGGTATGGATGAAGAAGATTTTGTACAGGATAACACAAAACAACTAGTGTGATAAGTACCTGTGTCTGAAACAAAGAGAACAGTATGGAGGTGCCAGTAAGGTTTATTATAAACCACATCTGTCACGAACAATTTTTGATGTCAGGAATGAGAATGCAAGGCATGCTTTTATAGGTCCACACAACAGTAAGCTCCAATGATTTGAATGGGACTGATTTATAAGTAGGTTTATATGTGGTACACAGACCTAGAAGATGTGGGCTCAATCTACAGTATTTCCTTGAATGACTTCGTCTAGGTATTTTCTACCATCATAGGAGAAATAGTTACAGACCTGTGTGCCATGGCCAATGTTCTCTGCCCTCAGAAAGACCCAAGAAATGCCATGCTTCTTTGGAAATGAAGCACAGGATTATGGTCTTAACTTGCATTCACACTGTAGAACTAATGCCATTCTACATCACTTTAGCCACCATGGATCAATGCTATATAATCATGGGGTTGTAGTTTTAGGTCTTTAGCTTTTTCTGTCAAACAGTACTGGTGCCTCACCAAACTAAAAAATCCCAGGAATCAATTGCATTAAGGTATGACAGTTAAAGTGCTGTCATATTAGATTTAAATCTATAATGTAGATGCGCTCGAAGTTAATGTATGTAGTATACCTCTCTCTGTGCACACGTGTAACCAATATGTTAAAATATAACCACCCCTTTTCAAACACTTTTGCCCGAATTTTATATACACAATATTTTTTCTATGTTGCTTCTTAATTACTGAATATTTTAATGTTTTAAAAAATGATTCATAAAATCCCATTTGTAACTCTCTTTTTTCTTTTAAGGACATGCTAGGATGTGTGGAATGGCACCAAAGAAAAGAGTCCAATGTGGATATGCTGGTATCTCTGCCGATGAATGCCTGGGGAAAGGCTGCTGCTACGAACATTACCAGTATGCCCCAAAGGTCCCATGGTGCTTTGAACCTTCAGAAAAGCAAGGCAATTTTTCAGTAAGAATGGAAATGGACAACTTTTAGACTGACTGATGATGATGCTTTGGTGGATGAAGGTGCAAAAGATTTCAATATGCAATCAATTTTTCACACAGTTTAGGATGTTATTGTCAAACTGAAATTCTGTACATTCCTCATCAGTCTCACTGAAAAGTCCATTAATGTTCACATTCTAGGAATATTCTTGAAAGGAATAAGTGATTTTTTTGCAATTTTCTTCCTGCTGCTCAGAAATCTTTGAAAGTTGTGCTGTTGTTGAACACTATTTACAATTCAGATCTCATTCCACGCAACATTTGCATTTAGTGCTTTTGCACAGTAGAAAAACATTGTGGAGCAGAAAATAATTCTGCAGAGAAATATTATTTTCTGTGTAGAAAATGCAGCTTTCTTTTACTTTTCTATTGACATTCCCATTTTTTCTAAATGTATACTTGGAGTGAAATGTTTGTATTTAATTATGCATTATTTCAGGACTCTGCTTCTGTCTTCCTCAATAGGAGGAACCTTAGCTTCAGTACTAATAAAGGACACAGGCTATATCCATAGGAGACTGGAAATGTACTTTTATGTAAGTCTAGTGTCAACAAGTTTTTCCAAATCTGGGATCATGTTGCAGGCATGTAGCCGGGGGGGGGGGGGGGGGCTCGGGGGGCTTCAGCCCCCCAAAATTCTCATGGTGGTTCGCGAAAAGGCCTTACTGGTGCATTATTTAAACTGTTATGTTTATTAATATCATGATTTGATCACCATTCTCAATATATCCCATATGTATGGGGGTATTGGGGTAATGATACAAAAGGTTTGCTAGGCTAGACCCTCTTTCACTCAGACTCAGCCCCCCCCCCCGAAACTCAGCCCCCCCGAAACCCCCCCTGAAAAAAATTTTTCCCCCCCCCCCCGAAACGAAATCCTGGCTACGGGCCTGTCATGTTGGTTTTCAGTAACCAAGCAACAAAAACACATGGCATTGACTAATGGACAACTCAAAGAGAAGGTGATCATGATTATGCTTCAAGCAGATCTCTTCGTGCTTTGCCATGCAATTGTCACTTACAATATTTGTCCCTGGATTCCTTTTAAATTATGGAAACATAAGTGGAGCAACAGATGGAGGACCAATGTAGTAGTCCATTTTTCAAGCAAGGAGTCAGGAGTCATGCTTTTATTTTAGGGAGAGGCATTTCTCTGCTCAGATCATAAGCCAATCCTGGATGCATGCTGAGACAGCCTGTGATAATGGACTCTTCTATTACTTGGCCAATACAGTTGAGGGGATTACCTCTTCCCTAGGCACAAAGGATTAATGGGGTATTTGGTTTACAATTGCATTTAGTGGGAGGGTCAGCATCAGGAAAGACTCAAAGGTCAATTGCCCAATGAAATGACTGGGGGCAAAGCTTCCAAATATATAACCCTCAGGGTATATCATCATGAGTCTATAGAAGAACAAGGGACAATAAAGGCAGACAACGGCTGGCCGATCCTTTGTTCCACTTTAAGGAATTGGTTCTAGACTTGGCATGCAGAATGCCCACTCATAATAATAATAATAATAATAATAATAATAATAATAATAACAACAACAACAACAACAACTTGGGAAGTGTCTGACATGTGATCCAATACAACAGTAGAGTGTCTGCTGTGGACTCATCTTGTTGTGCTTCAAATGATGATGATGATGATGCTCTGGGACTTCTGAATTCACACTGACAGAGTTTTGGAGCACAGTACTCCTGACCTCACGATCATGGGGGGAGGGGGAATCAAAGTATGGATCATCGATGTTGCCATCCCAGGCAACAGCAGGATTGACAAGAAGCAACTGGAAAAACTGACATGATACGAGGATTTAAAGATCGAACTGCAAAGACTTTGGCACAAGCCCATAAAGGTGGTCCCAGTGATGATCGGCACACTGGGTGCAGTGTGGCCTTGGCTAGCATTAAAAACAATTGACACTGATAAAATTACCATCTGTCAGCTGCAAAAGGCCACCCTACTAGTTTCTGCATACATTATTTGCTGATACATCACATAGTCCTAGACGCTTGGGAAGTGTCCGACGTGTGATCCAATACAAAAGCCAGCATAGTGATCTTGTTTGATGTGTACTAATCTTGTTGTGGATCAAATAACAGCAGCAGCAGCAACAACAACAACAGCAACAACAAATTTTATTTCTTGCCTGTCTCTCCCCAAGATTTGTGGTAGGTTACAACAAAATTGAAATACAATAGATAAAAACACAAAACAATTTAAAACACATTAAAAATAAATATAAACATAAGGTTAAAAGCACATTAAAATATAAAATCAAATAGGAGTAACCAAATCCACAGGAACAGTTGCGATTTTGAGTAGGTAGGGATTGTTACAAGTAGTTTATCACCTTATGGAAATTATATTTCCTTTAACCTATGGCTGGATATGAATCAGATTGCTTTGCAATTTTTTTAAAATTCAAGTATATCCAAAAGGGGCTGTTATCATGTAAGAGATACCTTTCTTTGTCAATGCCTTGCTTAGAATAAAAGCTTCTTTTAAAACTCTCCATCTCTCATGCACTCTTTTCACACGCCTGTTTGTTTGGTGTGCATGCAAAATATATCTTGCCCTGAAGCAAGCTGTATGTACTGCTCTTTTAACTACTATTATTTTACAGATTTGTTTTGTTTTTCTCACTATCTTTCCAAAATGGCTTTTATAGCTTGCACTTGACTAGTGGATAGATATTGCACTTTATGTCAAGGGAATCAATTTTTAAAATTTGAGTACATTTTACTAAACCTTCCTTTCCTTTTTTCTAGTAATCTCCCTAATTCTGTCTATTAATAGAATTTCAGAAAAAAATCAAGAGCATTCATCAAATCAAAGAAGAGCTCAAGGACTGACTCATGCTTATACCTGTGTTATTTACTGGATTTACTATGCTACCTACTCCCTCAAGGGGCAATTATGTGAAATGCTACTTCGTCCCATGTATCATGACAGTAAGGACCTCATCACATGAAGGTCCCAAATGGGGTGACACCAGGGGGATTTTCCGGGCAGTGAGGGAAACTGTTGCACTGCAACCTGCACCACTGCTTTTCCCATCATGCATGGGAAGCGTTGTAATTCTGCTTCCCCCGCACTGGCCCCATTCTTTCTGACTCCCATGTTGTCTGTGCTCGTTCTAGGATGCTTCCAGGATGGAGCCCCACTGGAGGTAGCCCTGTGTTGTGTGAAGGGCTCTGACAGGCTCTGTCCTGGCAGTATTCTAGGATGCTGCAAAATGTACATGTGTTGAGGTCAGAAATGTCTTTTATCATGATCCCTAAGAATTTCCATTTTTTTAAGGGAGCAACCAAACCTGGAGAGGGTTGCTTATTTTTTCCCTCCCACACATACCTAATGCCATGACCCTGATCCTTTTCTCACTATTTCATTTATTTTTAGTAAAATCAACTATTCCAGAGATATATTTAGAATTAGCCTTGGCATGCATAGCCTCAGACATATTTCTGCAGGCATTTTTTTTTAAAAAAAATCTAAGATAAGGAATATGTAGAGAGCATATTTCTCCAACTTCAGAGCCACAAGTGCAGTTGGGTTGCAATTCTCATTATCCCAAGTCTGCATGGCTGATAATCAAAAAGGACGGGACTTGTCATTCAATTACACCTGAGGACTCAACTGGATAAAATATAAAGAGCACCAACCACTATGTGTGTGTGTGTGTGTGTGTGTGTGTGTGTGTGTGGCATTCTGTATCCATGGATTATTCATCAATGGAGTCAATGGTTTTTTGAAGGCAACCATAAGACTGATCTGGCCCTTGAAAACGAGCCTGACACTCCTGCCCTGGACAGCTGTCCAACAGACTCTGTGATTGTATTTGCCATATTAACTAGATATTTATAAACCTCCCCATCGCTCCTCCTCCACTGCCTCTTTCTTTCCTGAAGTTAACTGAAATGCCCCAACTCATTGCTTAAGCGCTTTTGCATTTGCCTTGGTAACGTAAGAAGCAATAATAGAGAAATGTACAGGCTGTGAAAATGCATCTAAAGCTTGCTCAACGTGTGCTATGCAAGTTCCCTTCAACAGTTAATAAATGCCATAAGCAAAAAGCAGAAGCGATTGCACAGTTCTTCACCTGTGTTCAGATTCCAAAAGTAACAATTTCCAAAGTGGTTAGTTGTGTTGCATTAAGTCCCCGGCCTTTGTTCCAACTGCCACTATCCTATCCTCGGGGGGGGGGGGGGGGGGGGGAAGCAAACACAGTTCCATCATGCCAAGACCCAGAAGCAGATGACCCCTCCATCCCAAATGCCATTGGCTTGACTTTGGAGGGGAAAAAGCAGTATCTATTGGACTCAATTCCCTTCCCTTCCACACTGCTATGCCTTTTCCTTTTGCGACTAGTTGCTCATAAAATTGTTGCTGGTAACACAAAACATCCTGACACTAGATAAACCAAGTATCACAACTTGACAGACATTATATTAGTATTATACACAGACATAAGTTAATACCAGTTGATATTTCCTTCCTTCTCCACAGTGTCCAAAGTCTACATCTACCTTCCTGAGCCATTTATGCCTGGAAAAGACTGGTGGGGTATTGAAGAAGAATTGGGATAGATGCCCATGGTCAGATGCTAAATAGTTACATCAGCCAAAGAGAGCAAAAGGAAACCGGTCAGGACACAATTTCAGTGGGTTTTCTCAGGATCAAATCATATGTTATTAGGCTGAGGGGCTGGGGAAGATAGGCCTAAGGGTATAGGATGTAAACAGATGTTTCTGCAATTTCCCCTGCTCTTATCCAGGATGAATGGCTGGGGGGAGGGCACTTCAGTGGTTCTGTGGTAGGCCCTATAGTGGAAAACACATGACATCACGGAGGACCACTTCACCTATCAACAGCCAACCCTTTACCTAGCAGCGGCCAATCCAGTGACATTACAGAGGGCCGCCTCACCTAGCAACAGCTTTTGTGTACAAATGGAAAAGTAAACAAACATACATACTTTCATTCACACACACACACACACACATATATGAGATATAAATAAATAACCCAGGCATTTTGGTTAGCATTAGGGGTTTAAATTGTGTTTTTAAATCATTTGCCTGATTTCTAATAAACATAAAGCAATCCACTAAAGATATTGAAGCAACAAAATTTGAAAAAAAAAATCTATTCCTGATTTGAAAGTGTTATTTCCTGATTCATTGTGTAGTACTTACTTTAAAAGTAGTTGATATATTCCAGTAACTTCATTTTTGTGACTGCCACAAACTATGTAGAATTGGTTGAGCCTCTACAGGACCTCTTCACATGGTCCCTGGGGCCATGCCGTTTCACCAGCAGATGTGCAGGGCAACTTGTGACAACTTTCCCCATCACATTGTGGGGATGGGACAAGGCGTGTTGGCACCCTGTCCCCATCATATGGGTAAATGGAGGGGGGGGGGCAATGTGTGTTGCTTTTTCTTCCACCTGCCCTGTCTGTTCAATTTTTCTGTTATTTTATGTCATATCCTGTGTTTATTTTGTATTTTTTCTTTTTGTTATATTTTATTATATTTTTGTTGATGTATTATTGTATATTGTATTTTGTTTTGTTGTAATTGTTGGGCTTAGCCTCATGTTATTAGCCACCCCGAGTCCCCTTGGGGAGATGGTGGTGGGATATAAATAAAGTATTATCATCATCATCATCATCATCATATGGAGGAAAGGGCAAAAAAATCCATTGGAGCTACCCAAAGCACACTTTCCTTTCTGTCATGACAGAGGAAGTGTCCTGCAACACTTCCCCTCCACTTCCAGAGAAATGGGGTGAGGCCAAGCCAGCATCACCTGATGGCGCTCAGCAGGCCCCATCCCAAAGAGGGGAAAGCCCCAAATGAAGAGGTCCTATGAGATATTCATTGAAAAACTAGAGCAAAATGTGCTGTAGGATGTCCTGCAAAAACAAAGTTTTTGGAATTTAATAAACTTTTTCCATATTTTTATGATAGAGCTAATTAAGAAATGACATTTATAACCCATGAACAAAAATCATGTTACATAGTGTTATCAATGTTATATTTAAAACAAGCTATGCAAGCTGATTTCAGATTAAACTGTTTGTTAGAAGTACCAGACCCATATTGACATATACATTTTAAAAGGTCGTTGATTTTAGTCACAGTGACAACTATGATGTAAGTAGTGGTAATATGCACACGCCTAACGAGTCCTAGATTAGACAGATAGTGAAACATTTAACCATTGGCTAGAGAAAAACCTTTGCTGATAGTGCAATGAGCTACGACATGCTGCATTAATCATTTCCACCTTTTACTGAAGCAAAGATCTTCTATTTTATTACTCTTTTTAAACTGAGCATTTCAATATATTTCATTATGCTGCTTTCACTGTTCATAGGCCATTACATATTTCTGATGGTGATGTGAGGATGCCCCAAACTTTTGACACATAATGTGATAGTTAATACATTAGTTCTCAACCTGTGGGTCCCCAAGTGTTTTGACCTACAACTCCCAGAAATCCCAGCCAGTTTACCAGCAGCTGTTAGGATTTCTGGGAGTTGAAGGCCAAAACATCTGGGAACCCACAGGTTGAGAATCACTGGTTAAATAGATAGTTAAATAATTTGTTATAGTTATTTTTTAAAAGACTTCTGAATACTATAGGTTGTTATTCTATGGTGCAAAAATCACTTTCCTTCATCTACCTCATCACTAACACCCAAAAGAGAGCATAAAGAACTATCACGAGATGTGGTTAAACAGTAGTTTGATTCCATGACCTCCCATGGATATCAAAACCTGTCAATGGTCAGGTTCCATCATATACAATTGTATAGTAAAATGGTCTCCATTATATAAAATGGCAAAATTGAGGGTTGGTTTTTGGAACTTTTTTGGAATATTATTACATTGTTGATATTTGAATGTGTGGCTATGGAGAGTTGATTGAGTTCTATGTCAATGCTATGATTTCAGAAATTTGATTTATGACTGAAGATGGGCATTTGTACTGGTGTGAGAACAGCATGGCATAGTGAGCATTGGGCTATGACTCTGGGTTTGAGCCCTACTCAGCCATGGAAACCCATTGGGTCAACTTGGCCACAGTCAAAGGCAACCCCTTTTGCTATATCTTACCAAGAAAAACAATGATAGATTTGCCCTAGGATCACCATAAGTCAAAAACTACTTGAAGGCACACTCAACAAACTACTTTGTTGTGAAGCTAATGTTAGAAAAATCATATCAGTTTTTGTGCATGTCCTTCTTACTTTGTAAAATGTCTTCCATAGGAATAAGTGCAGATATTTGCAATGTTGGCTTACATCCCAGTTGAGGTAATTAAAGGTGGTTGACCGATGCCATTTTTAGCACTTCATTCGGCATTTATCATCCAGATATCGCCACTGTATACATAGGGAAAACTTGGTAACATTTCCTAATCAAAAATTGAGAGATACTTGAGGTGGAGTACATTTAGAAATTTGTTATCTGAACTCAGTACACAAACATAAATTATGGTATAAAATGAATTCAATTCTGACTGTGCAGTACTTTTCTTGATTTAAATCTTTTCTTTCCAAGACTCGCAAGTCACCATGGAACAGAAGGGGGTCTGGTTATTGTCCCTTATTTTAATTTTAGGGCTCAGCACATTGACTGAAGGGGTCAAAGCTCCACGTAAGTACTATTACTGAAGATCTGATTGTGGGGTCCTTTCTGGCAAAATTACATTAGTGAATCACAGACAAATATTTCCTCTTCAATTCCATAACTTATATTTAAAATTGTATGGCTTGACATTCACATGCTGTTTCTCAGCTTTAAGGCTACACATTTGTGCTAAGGTGTAGTTATGCTAGGGTGTCCCTTTATGTTTATTCAGGGGTCTAAATGGTAGGATATATATTTTTAACAGGGACAATGATAACACTCGTAACATCTTCAAACATTTTTGTTTGCGCAGCAGGTTAAACCACTGAGCTGCTGAACTTGCTGACCGCAAGGTTGGTGGTTTGAATCCTGGGAGTGGGGTGAGCTGCCACTGTTAGCCCCAGCTTCTGCCAACTTAGCAGTTTGAAAACATGAAAATGTGAGATCAATAGGTACCGCTTTGCCAAAAGGTAACGGTCCTCCATGTAGTCATGCCAGCCATATGACCTTGGAGGCATCTACAGACATAGCCAGCTCTTTGGCTTAGAATTGGAGATGAGCACCACCCCACAGAGTTGGACACAACTAGACTTAATGTCAAGGGGAAACCTTTACCTTTACCTGAACTTGGCTACAGTCAACCTAATAGCTGGAGAAGAAATAGGTCTCCTATCACTTACTTCTTATGAGCTATTCCTATGTCATGCAATGTATTTATGGGTTCTTTGATTTTGAACAGGCAATTAGTTTTACATGGCAATTTTATAGCAATGTAGAAATGGTTTACAGTTGTGAATCAACTTGGTTTCCTACAGATTGGGCCCTTTTTGTGGGATGTAATTGTACGTATACAGATATGTCATGTTGAACATCAATATTTAGGTCCAATATTGGAAGAAAGACAGGATATAAAGCAAATAATGGTGTGTGTTTCTATATCTCTCTGTGTGTGTATCAGTACATCACAGGTTAAGAATCAAAGACTGGAATAGATTAATGCAATGTGGTAATAGCTATAAATGATGAGGATTTTTTTTCTTGTCAAGAATATGTCCAGTCCTTTCCAAAAGCATAATCTGGTGGAGAAACATTAGTGAAGGGCTAGGTAAGTACATCCCCATGGATGCATGTAGCTCCTCAAGGCTGCTTTTCCAGGTTCCACCCCACCTCCTTTAGACTACATTTGACTGCCTTTCCCCCTTGTGCATAAATAAGGTGAATTATCTCTACTGGAAGCCTCCACGGGAAGCAATTTGTCTTTTGAACTGGATACAGAGGTCTATAGTCACTTCAGGTTTTTGTTTTGCTTCTTTGGAGACTGGGTGGCGATGGCTTAGGGCAAACCAATTCCTGGTGATTCCGAAGGGGAAAAAATGGTGCCCGGAATCCATAGATATAAAACACCCCAGTTTTATTTTCTGGAAATCTTACTAGCAAAATGCTCCACAATCAAAGTGAAGGAATGATGTTTGGAAGGCTGGGCATGCTATGGATATCTGGTGGGTCCGAGGAAGATAGAACCTGCAGTTCTGAAGGTCCGGGAAAAAGTAGGAGACCCATAATCAGAAGCATCACATTTTAATTTGTTTCAGCAAAGCATACATCAATTTTAAACAAAGAATCTGGAATTAGGAAAAGTGTCAATAAAGAGACATCATGCTAAAAGCAGAAGAGTTAAATGGGTTTTTTGTTTTCAACAGCTGAGTGCCGATGCAAGAAGATAGATCCAAAAACAAGATTGAACTGTGGACCCCCTGGAATCACCCCCCAGCAATGCACGGAGAATGGGTGTTGCTTTGATTCATCTGTTCCAGGAGTGCCGTGGTGTTTTGGTCCAGCCCCACCAACATGTAATGTATTTCCATGAAAAATCTTTTGATATTTTGTTTTAAAATATAGCATTCGGGCCAGAGGGATGGATATGCTTTGGTACCAGGAAGAAAATAATTAAAAGATGTCCAAGGAATGTGGAGTGTCACTTTTCAAGGAGGAAAGGTAAAACAAGAGTGTTTCAGCCTCTCTGCTCATGCTTGATAGTGGAAGTGATAACTTGTACAGCTCTGTACCAATGATTGAAAGCAATTTTAAAAAACAGTTGAAAGTGTAGTTTAGTGAACAGTACTTTCAGAGTCAAATCCCTTGTTTCTTAGAGAGTAAGGTATCATCTGCCATCACTCTTAGGCCCCTTTTGCACTGCCATATAATCCAGGTTATCAAAGCAGATAATCCACATTTTCTGCTTTGAACTGGATTATATGAGTGTGCACTGCCATATATTCCAGTTCAACACAGATAATCTAGATTTAATTTGGCAATGTAGAAGGGGCCTAAGAGGATACCAGGAAGAGTGCCAGATATGTGTTGGTGCCCAATGTGCTGACCCTGCTGTGTAGCAATAGAACAGCTGTTCTCTAATGGATATGGTTTTTATTCAGCCATGCAGTTCTCATCTACTCCTGAAGAAAATCCCCAAGAGGGTTCCAGCCATCTTCAATAGCACCTGTGAAATTCATTGGAAGAGTGTTCATTTTTAAAGACTTGACTTTCCCTCACATAGTTATACATGGCCATCATGTCTTTTCTCAGCCTTCTCTTCTTCAAGCTAAACATGCCCAGCTCTTTAAGCTGCTCCTCATAGGGCTTGTTCTCCACACCCTTGATCATTTTAGTCACCCTCCACTGGAGACATTCCAGCTTGTCAACATCTCCCTTCAATTGCAGTGCCCAGAGTTGGACCCAGTATTCCAGGTGTGGTTTGACCAAGGCAGAATAAAGGGGTAGCATGACTTCCCCGGATCTAGACACTATACTCCTATTGATGCAGGCCAAAATCCCATTGGCTTTTTTAGCCACTGCATTTCATTGTTGGCTCATGTTTACCTTCCTGTCCACGAGGACTCCGAGATCTTTTCCACATGTACTGCTGTCGAGCCAGGCGTCCACCCCATTCTGTATCTTTGCATTTCATTTTTTTCTGCCCAAGTGAAGCATCTTGCATTTGTCTCTGTTGAACTTCATTTTGTTAGTTTTGACCCATCTCTCTAATCTGTTAAGATCATTTTGAATTCTGCTCCTATCTTCTGGAGTATTGAGAATTTGGGGATGTCAACAGTCATATTCTGAATCAGTTGTCCAAAGTCTGATATTATGATGAGGCACTACTAATCTCAGTGAAGGCATTTCTCCTGACGTTTCGCCTGCATCTATGGCAAGCATCCTCAGAGGTGTGAGGTCTGTTGGAAGTAGGAAAAATGGGTTTATATATCTGTGGAATGGCTGGGGTGGGGCAAGGAGCTCTTCCCTGCTGCAGTTAGGTGTGAATGTTAGCTGATCACCTTCATTAGCATTTGAAGGCCTGCCTGAGCCTGGGAAAATCTGTTGCTGGGAGGTGTTAATCTGTGCCTGGTTTTTTTCCTCTCTGTTGTTTAGCTGTTATAATTTTAGAGTTTTTTAATACTGGTAGCCAGATTTTGTTCATTTTCATGGTCTCTTCCTTTCTGTTGAAATTCCAACATTCTTGTGGATTTCAATGGCTTCTCTGTGTAGTCTGACGGTGGTTGTTGGTGTGGTCCAGCATTTCTGTGTTCTCAAATAATATGCTGTGTCCAGGCTGGTTCATCAGGTGCTCTGCTATGGCTGACTTCTCTGGTTGAAGTAGTCTGCAGTGCCTTTCATGTTCCTTGATGCGTGTCTGGGCGCTGCGTTTGGTGGTCCCTATGTAGACTTGTCCACAGCTGCATGGTATACGGTAGACTCCTGCAGAGGTGAGAGGATCCCTTTTGTCCTTTGCTGAACGTAGCATTTGTTGGATTTTCTTGGTGGGTTGTAGATTGTTTGTATGTTGTGTTTCCTCATCAGCTTCCCTATGCGATCAGTGGTTCCCTTGATGTATGGCAGGAACACTTTTCCTCTGCGTGGATCTTCATCTTTACTCTCGTGGCTTGTTCTTGGTCTTGCAGCTCTTCTGATGTCTGAGGTGGAGTATCCATTGGCCTGGAGAGCCCAGTTGAGGTGGTTCAGTTCATCTTGGAGGAGGTGGGGTTCGCAGATGCTTTTTGCACGGTCTGCCAAGGCTTTAATGGTGCTTCTTTTTTGACTTGGGTGATGGTTGGAGTTTTTATGTAGATATCTATCTGTGTGTGTGGGTTTCTGTAGACGGTGTGACCCAATTGTTGATCTGGTTTGCGGATGACTAGGACATCTAGAAAAGGCAGTCTTCCTTCATTTTCTTTTTCCATGTGAACTGGATGTTTGGGTGGATGCTGTTAAGATGGTCCAGGAACCTGTTGAGTTATTCTTCTCCATGGCTCCAAATGGTGAAGGTGTCATCCACATATCTGAACCATATCGTGGGCTTTTTGGTTGCTGTTTCCAGGGCTTGTTCTTCAAAGTGTTCCATGTAGAAGTTAGCTATGACCGGGCTGAGAGGGCTCCCCATAGCTACTCCATCTTTCTGTTCGTAGAACTCATTGTCCCACTGAAAGTAGCTGGTGGTGAGGCAATGGTGAAACAGAGCTGTGATGTCTTCTGGGAACCTCTGGTTGATGAGTGCCATGGTGTCTGCTACCGGGACCATGGTAAATAGAGATACCACATCGAAGCTGATCAGTTTGTCGTTGGTATTTAGCTTGAGATTGCTGATTTTTTCTATGAAGTGGGCTGAGTCCTTGATGTAGTGTGTAGTGAGCCCAATATGGCTTTGTAACTGTGCAGCAAGAAATTTTGCTAGGTCGTATGTGGGGGATCCAATGGCACTCACGATGGGTCTGAGTGGGGTGGAGTCCTTATGGATTTTTGGGAGTCCATAAAGCCTGGGTGGATGGGCTTCCGATTTACATAGCTGTTGTCGTATGTCAAAGTTTATGGAGGAGTTCTTAATCAGGGTGTTGGTTTTCTTGGTTATTTTGGCAGTTGGGTCTTTCTTGAGTTTTTTGTATATAGTAGGGTCCAGGAGTTTTCTGATCTCCTCCTTGTATTGTTCTGTATGCATGATAACTGTGGCATTCCACTTGTCTGCTGGCATAACGAGGATATCCGGATCTGAATTCAGTTCTCTGATGGCTTGTCTTTCCTTCCTAGTAATGTTACTGGAGGGAAGTTTTGCCTTTTTCAGGATCCTTGCTGTTTCTGCTCGTACTTCTTCTGCTTCCTCCTCGGGGAGGCGATAAATTGCTGATTCAACATTGGCAATGATGTTTTCTACTGGGATCCTGGTGCAGCAGGGAAGAGCTCCTTGCCCCACCCCAGCCATTCCACAGATATATAAACCCATTTTTCCTACTTCTAACAGACCTCACACCTCTGAGGATGCTTGCCATAGATGCAGGTGAAACGTCAGGAGAAATGCCTCTAGAACATGGCTCTATAGCCCGAAAAAACCCACAAGAACCTAGTGAATCCAGCCATGAAAGCCTTCGACAATACAATCTCAGTGAATTTTTCCCCAAAACAGATAAGGAGGTATGCCCTACAGAAGTGAAAGCCAGGAAGAACTGTGGATATCCTGGGATCCCTGCTGATATATGTGAGAGCAGAGGATGCTGCTTTGAGTCCAGACCCCCTGCTGTTCCATGGTGTTTCTATAAAGTCCTTGTAGCAGAAGGTAATCAAACAAACGCTATCCCACTTTTACTGGAAATGCAACACATTTTTGAAATGGTGTGAATGATACTTTCCGTTTAGTGCAGTTGAGAAAGCAGCTGATGGCAAATGTCATTTAAACCAAATTATATATGACTTTCTTCTATTATATTCTATTGTCTTGTTTGGGGATGTGATTGAGCTAGGAAAAACAACTATCAAGTTAGGTTTGTGAGACTCAAGGGAGCAGTCTCCCATTGTTAACCCTCATCTCGCCTCCAAATTTCAGTAGACTGAAATATGCCCCCACCCCCGCACACACACACACTCATTAGATTGTGACACAACAGAACAGTGGTGCCAGATCATGGTTATCCTGGGCTCTGGGATGTCAGATTCATATCTGAAACATAGGAGAAATTCTTGTGATGCCCTGGTAATGCTACAAGGGTCATGTTACCCAACCTACTCCTGGGGGTGTCATTAAGCATGATATATTAAACATCAACCACAATTATATTGATTATCCTTTTATTTTATACATTTTGAAATAAATATTAAAAGGGAGTATCATTAAGTCAGCCAAAACTCTTGCAGGAGGGAATTATACAATCTTAATCTAATGTATTATCCATCTGCAGTAGTCTACATGGGTAAAATACATCTAATGTAAAAATAATGACTGTGGGCAGATGAGACAACTTTCTAATGTTGTACATGCTGCAATGCTTATGTTGTACATAATAGCCAATATCACAAAATACTAAAAAGAGCCAGAATCTCGTTTTCCCCCACTGACCATCTGATTTTTATTTTCATATACCACAGTGTTGTAGTTAATGGCAATTTCAGTTCAGCTGAGCCAATGCTATTTGGATTTTCCTAACCTCCTCCTTTCACTGCCAGAAGGTCCCTTTTGTGTGGCCACAAATGAGGGCAATATGATGGACTAACAGCAGAGGATCTTCCTGGCTGTGGTACCCCACTTGAGTCCTAGCCAAGATTGCCATCCCCTTGTGGAACACCTTTGGAAATGCCTTCCCCTTGGAGCCTGTCTATCACAGCCATACAACTCAGAATATCAAGACAGATAATCTACAATATCTACTTTGAACAGAGTTATCTGAGTCCACACTGCCATATAATCCAGTTCAATGTGCATTTTATACAGCTGCGTAGAAGGGGCCATAAATGCATGTTCTCCACTTCTCAGACAAAACATGTGGAAACTCGGGCAGAGAGCACTGCCTTGAAAAGTGTGTGCGTGCGTGCGTGCGTGTGTTCCCCTTGAGGAATGCCTTGGAGAATACCCTCCCATTAGAGCCCTGCATGGCACCAGGTCAAGACATGGCTTTTTACAAAAGCACGTGATCCTAATTTATTTTTAAATACATGTATGGCTTTGGGATTTTTAAGCTCTTTTGACTTCTTTGAATTATTTAATGCATTTTATCTTGTTTAAAATGTTCATTGGTTTCCATCAGAACTTGTTTTTATTGATTTATCTATTTGTCTCCCCGAAAACTCAATAAAAAAGGGCATGATGCAAAATATTTTAATAAAATAAATCAATACGTAACGGATAATTAAAATACACTGCGAGAAAGAATGGGAGAGAAACCTGTAATTATGTTCCCAGGAAAATAACTTTTTGGTTACTCTATTGACTGATTTGCTGTGGGTCCGAGAAGGAAGAAAGGCATTGGTTCTTACACTTCTTTTTATTATTTTTCCAGAGTGCTGAAATGATGCTTCAGACAAGGAACTAACTACTCTGCCAACAGAACAATTCAAGCAAGAGGATCCTATGCCTCACAGCTTGTGCTCTAATAATGTTCATTTGCATGTCACTTTGCCTTGCATTCACACTTATTATTTGCAATAGGACTATTAGTCTGGAGTCTTACACCCAGCTAGCAAAGCAACCACTGAATACTGCTGCACAAAGATCTGGGGAAACATATGTAGAACTACATTATAACTCATAGATTTTGTTCATTTCAGAAATTTGGCATATGGTCTCTGTTCAAAGCAATAAAACTATTCTTATTTTTAAAATGCAAAATGATGCAGTTGTATTTTTGTTCATAATGCTAATAGAAAAGAAACCAGATATTTGTAGTTTGGAAAAATATTGGAAGCCAACTCACCCCCCTCTCCACACACACTCACACACACACACACATGATCCCATTGAAGGAATGGCAACATGAGAAGCCTCCCGTGTTGCCAGGGCATCGGCAGCACCCATAGAGCTGGCACAATGTCGTGTGATTGGAGCCGGCCAGCTCTGTGAGTAACTAGGCCTAGATCAACATTTGCCGCTGACTCTAGCCCTGGTTACCTATATGATGAGGCCTTAGAAATATCAACACCTGAAAAGGGTTGAAACAGTTCTAGCAGAAGGGAATTCATTTCTCCTAGTATGGCTAATTTCCTACTCTCTGGATTCATGCTAAGATGAAATAAGATGTTCGGAGATAAGGGGGAAATTTGCCAGTTATGTTGCAGGGCTTCTTTCATTTTTTTCACTCTCATAATATGTGTGCCAACCATTTGATCAGTAGCTCACTGTTTGGGAGCAAATTACTCTGGTCAAGAGCTGCCCTTGGCCTAGAAGGAGCTTTTCTCATAGTAGGGGAACACAGTGAAATGACCTTCTGGGACAAGAGGGATTTTTTTATCACAATTGCCTTGGGCATGTTGAAAAGACAGCTTGTAACCAACAGACAATGGTCTTGGAAGAGACAATGGTCTTGTTACCAATACTTTTCCCAGTTTCTCACCAAATAACTTTGCCACATCATTCTTTGGGCAATACTGGACAACTGTGAGACTCCAGGTGTGTTTCCTATTAGGTCTCATCAGATATAGGGAGTATACCAAATATGAGAGATTATGGATCCACTGTTGATCTAGAATTTGCAATTGATCTCTCCAGCTTTGTGGGGTTAAATGACCAGCAATTTTCTTCTTGTCATCTGTTTATTATCATCTCTGTGGCAGCCTATCCTCTTGACTAGGGGCCCTTCCACACAGTCATATAACCCAGAATATCAAGGCAGAAAATCCCACAATATCTGCTTTGAACTGGGTTTTCAGAGTCCACACTGCCATATATTGGGATTTTATTCAGCTGTGTGGAAGGGGCCTGGGTGATTCCTGAAACTCTGATAGCAATAGAGATATATCAAAGCAGATGGACAAATTATGGAATGAGAAATGGAATATTCTATCAGAAAAGTCTAAAGGAATGTGGGAATGAATGGGCCATATTTTCAAATGGAAGATATCTTCAAAGGGCCCTTCCGCACAGCCATATAATCCAGAATATCAAGGCAGATAATCCACAATATCTATTTTGAACTGGATTATCTGAGTTCCACACCGCCATATAACCCAGTCCAATGTGGATTTCATACAGCTGTGTGGAAGTGGCCAAAGATGCCCAATCTAGAATACAAAGCTAATTACCAAGTTACCAAAATTCTTCTCAGGTAGAAATTGAAATATTGATCTTATTAAGCCTTTGTTTTTAAAAACTAGCATTGTGTGTGCCAAAGAAGGTTCCTGTCTAAGATATTCCACCTGGAAATGTTTGGTTCATGCTTGCCTGAAAGAATTGCAAATTTAAAAGAAAAATGTCAGTTAGTGTCCTAAGTCTTGGTTGCTTAAGGATGGATAAGAAGCAATTTCTTCTAACCACAGAACTATTTCTGGATTCTTTTAATGTATAGGGTTGTGTAAGTTTAAAGTATTGGTTAAAAGGTTACTACACTATTATGTTTACACACAATGTTACTTCAATCCACCAGAAATCGTTTTTCTGCCTTTTGAAAGAGAAACAGCAGTTTTGTTGGTCAATGAACCATAGCAGTTTCACCACAAAGGGTTCTGGACAGGAAAACGGAGAGAGTTGTGCCCTTTATAACTAAGGTTGCCCTTCTTGGTTCTGATCATCTGCCATCCTTCAAGGACTTGCTTGATATTGGGTTCAAGTGGGGGTAAGTCCCATCCTTAAATCTACAACAAATAGGTGAGAATTGTTACGACTTTTTTATTTCCAAAGGCTAGCTCTGAGCTGAGGTGCCACTGAGAGGAATAATCCAACAGGAACTAGTCAACAGATCAAGAAAGCAGCAGGGATTTGGACTGGATAGTCCTTGTGGTCTCTTCTAAATCTATGATACTGAAGTCTTAGTCCAGCATTATATCATGTGTCCTTGTAGTATAAGACATATACTTACTTGCTTACTTTGGCGATCCTTCGTTGTCCGAGTAAGGTTATTCTCCAGGTGCGGTGTCCTGGCAGTGGGTTCGGAGGTGACTGTGAAGCACTATTCTTGATCTACATCTTCTCGCACAGTGAAGGCATCGGTTTCCAGGGGGAAGGCAGTCCCAGTCGGGGTTGGCTTGATGCACTTTCCTCTTGGCACGTTTCTCCCTTTTGCCCTCTATTCGTGCTTCTTCAAATTCTGCAGCACTGCTGGTCACAGTGACCTCCAGCTAGTGCACTCAAGGGCCAGGGCTTCCCAGTTATTGGTGTCTATGCCACAGTTACTATAAGACATATAATAAGGGTTTTCTTTATGATGTTGGGACGATGAGAGAGAGACAGAGAGAGAGAGAGAGAGGGGAAAAATACAAACAGACACAGTTATGATTCAACTGACGGATCTTAACATTGCAATTTTCTGAAAGAGACATTCTAAGAGGGTATGAGTAGTGGAAGAAGCCAACTGTTCTGCCCCCAATGAGCTGTTTATAAGGAAGGTGTCTTAATCTTGTTAAGAACAGATTGGGGTGGCACAGATGAATGTTTAACAAGAATTTAATAACAACCAAGTTCCAAATCCTGTCTCCTCCCAGAATTAACAAAAGTCTTTGCAAGAAAGGATAAAAGTATTGCTGAATTAGAGCTTCTTTTTACTTAACTTTGCTTTGTGTTCTTCCTTCTTGTTCTTTGCTTATGTGTTTCTTGCCAAAGAGTTCCAATGTTAACGGGCTTAATGGTCAAGTCTCCAGCCTTCTTGAACCCTCCTTGAACAAAATGACTGACTTCAGGGGCGTAGCTTTAACCCCTGCCACACAGCTGAATAAAACCTCACATTATCTGGTTTGAACTGGAATATATGGCAGTGTGGGTTCAAATAACCCAGTTCAAA